TTCTTCTGTTAATGCGTTTTTTTATAATAATAAATGTAAATCCGCCAAATCTTGATTTAAATTGGCATATCCTTTTCTTCTGTTCATAACGTGCAACGCTGATTATAGCGAAAACCGTATATATAGGTCATGTTCTATAATTAATGAAGACAAGGGTACTTGGTTCGCTGTAAATGACTGATTACTGTGATGAGGTTCTATAAATGTATAGTGGATTAGATTGGTATCCTTGAATGGCATCCCCCTTTTTTTAAAGTAAAACACAACAAATGTGCACATTTCTCCAAATTTTATATTCTTTGTATTTCAGGTGCAACACAATGTCATGCAGCAACAGCAGCAGCAATTGCAAGCGCATCTTCAGCATCACGCGATGCATCAAGGCTACGGTCATCCACATCAGCTGGGAGCGAGTGCAATGCATCAACATCCACATCACCCCCACCATCATTCAGTTATAAGCCAAGGAAACTATATCCCAGTGCCTCAGATGACTGTGAGTTCTCAAGCGTTTTCCCCTCAAGCCCCCAGTACTTACGTGAGTGTACCCGCAATGACTACAGTAATACAACACCGAATGAGCGCGCAACAAAGTGGTTTAAGTAGTTTAGGTTCGTCGTCTTTAAATTCACACCAAAAAATCGGTCCCTCGCCGGCCTGTGCAGTTACATCCGGTGGAAATTTCTACATACAATCTAACGCCCACGCGCACACCCCTGGACCAGTACCCACGCCATCGCCGGTATCCGCGTCCGCCCTCCAAAGCAATACCGGTCAGAACCCATCGGGAAATTCGAGTTGTAGTCTAGCAAAACTGCAGCAATTGACTAACGGCTTGGAAATGATACCTCCCGGCTCGTGCAACACAATGACTCCACCTCCTACCGCGATGACCTTGACGCCGCCGCCCACCCACCATCCCCACGGGAACATGACACCGCCCCCCTCGCACCAAATGATTCAAAATCAATCCGTTCGCAATCTAACGACGCCACCTTCCGCAATTCCCGCGAATCTACAGCAGCAAGTGTTGGGTTACCACAAGTATTATCAAACGAATATGAACGTAAACCAGATCGGCGGTGCAGTGACGCCCCCAATCGGTCAAAACTTAGGACGATCAGCCAGAAACTCCTCCAACGTCGCCGTACAACACATGCAGCCAACCTCCAGCAGAATGAGCCCTAATGTCGCCTTGAATCCAAACATAATGGCCCAATACAACTCACTCAACGGATATCGAATGGCCGCACAACAAACACCCAGCGCAGTCGCCGGTTACATTACCAACACTGCGGCTGGTTTTATTAACAATGCTGCGCAAATACCAATGCAGATGGGGGTTATGAATATGGCCCAATCACAATATCAGGATCCGGCTGCCATACAAAGGGCGGCTCAACAGAACACCATGTATACTACCTACGGATATATCAATGGTAGTTTAATGCAACCATTGAACGGAAGTATGCGGCGTTAATGACAACCGTGCTTTGTCTGAAGAGGCTGTGCTTGTTTTAGAAAATGATTTTTAAACAAAATCAGTACAAAGATAACCAACAGATGTGTTAGTGTTAAAATTACGGTAAGAACACTTCTGTATATAGTGCTAGATTTGTGTTAACTTATTTTGTGTTTAGTCACTTTGCCAGAACTCGAATTATGTACAGTTTGCGTACTTTGTCAATCAATAGATAGTCTGTTGTTTGAACAAGCTAAGCTGTACTCAAACCGCCCCCTCCACCTTCTTACATGGCCACAGTTGACGATAACTTGATACCCCACATAATAAAATATGTGATTATTGACACCGCTTCATTTATGGACTAGTAGCTTAAGATTTGTTTTTGAAAACGTTTAGGTTTTTCCAAATTTTGCGGACCAGTATAATTTAACCAGTAACTTTGTATATACTTAAGAGTAGTCGCTTAATTTTTATGGTCACATCACAAGCTTCAATACGCAATAAGTACGCACTACGAGATTATTTGTATGGTACTACTTACATTTATAAGTTTGTTTAAGTTACAGTTACTTTCATTATTACTTTGTGGATGTGTCCTGTAACGGTTGTATTAAAAGAAAAGTGTTTGTGTTTACGCAAACAATTTAAAAGCGGCAGTTATATTTAATTTTGGAGTTGTAAAATAATTTATTAAAACGTTTGATTGTGTAAAATACTGTGAATATGTATATTATAGATATTCTATATGAACTAAGTTAATATTTTTTTTTGTTAATCTTTTTCAGAAATATGTTATCGGCTGTATAAATTGAGAGGATGGACATTTTATGTCTACTAATACGTGTAACCTGTACATAATGTTAAGTGTTGAATGTTTTCTCATGTATTTTAAGAATGTATAGCACTGTGATTAGAGAATTTGTTAGTTTGTTTATTTAAACTATGTTTTTTGCTTGTATATTTACAATCTCATTTGTATTACTATAGTACGATTGATATTAAAAATGTTAGTTTTTGATAATTTATTTATATTTTGCCACCAAATTTTATCCATTTATGTGTTTTATTAGTGTAATGATGCTACAGTTACTTCTTCGTTCTGTCGGTCTGTATTCTGTCCTGCCCTTTTTAAACGACGGACATTCAGAGTATGGCCCGTATGAATAAAAGTAAGCAAATGCTTATACTCGCAAAATTCAAAGTAAATACTCGTAACTGCTCCTTCATACTGGTCTGTTTAGCAAGGTTTAGCAGCGCTGCACTGCGTCCTGTCCTGCTTAGCAGCGCTGCTAAGTCGCCCAGTGCGAAGGAGCACTTACGAGTATTTACTTTGAATTTTGCAAGTATAAGCATTTGCTTACTTTTATTCATACGGGCCTATGTCTCAAATAAAATTTGCACCCTTAATCATTCGGTTTCCTAACTGTATAACTTCCCCAGACAATCGCGCGCGTAAATGGCGTGACGAAAAAAGTCAAGATTGCGCTTTGTTTCGTTTCCGTGGAATACGTGTTTTTTTTTCTCTGCTCTACATTGAAATGGGCCATAATTAACAATTTTCGTCTAGGATTTGTTTAAAAAGGAGAGATTTAAGCAGAGGTGTTTGTGCTTTTGTTGAGGCAGAAGTAAATTTTTACGTTTTGAATAGTGAGTGCAGCTTCGACAATTACAAAGGTGATGTACTCCTTTTTTTATCTCTACGTTTATTGCATCCATCTTTATAATATGATCGTGTTTAATTATTTGCCAATTTGATGTTATTCTCGTACAGCATTGATTATTGTCATTTTTATAACACATTCTAGATACAAATTGCACTTTTAATTATACTGGTCATACTTTGAATAAAATGCCTAGAGATTCTACGTAAATATGTTGTTTTCCAATTTACAGTACTCCTTTGTCCCAAGCGCTGGCAACATGAATTACTGGCCGATTTACGTTTTTTAATTATATTTAGATACAGGATGTTCCCTTAGGGGCGATATTCAATACAAGTATACAGAACTACCTTTTAATTTATAATTTAATTTATTGCAGCACATTTCTTTTTTGTTTGCATCACGAATATGTTACTGTTTATTTACAGGGTGCTTCATATGGGGGCGAGTGACGTACGTTAGGTGATTGGTTGTTACATATTGCACTTGGCATTGAGAATTATTTACTTGATACTAATGTTTTGCCACGACATGTTCCTTTGCTTTACTATCATGTGATATTTAACGTTATACTCCTACTATTTATTTGAACCAGGTGATTATGATTATTAATATTTGGCGGGGTCACTTGTTTCAAATATGCACTATGCTATATTTGATACAGATATTTAATCTCGATTTGACGTAGCAGAGGCTGGCTAAAGTTCAGAACTAACATACGCAGAGATATATCTATGTTTTTTGTGTCTTTGAAAAGAGCCATCTTGCCGATATTGCTAATCAATTTGTTTAGTCGATCCCTGACATGTAGTGACCGAATATTGGTTTTGTATCAGTCTTTGTTATGCCAGTGTAAATATGTCAACTGTCAACGCCTACATAAATTCTGTATATTTTGTTTATGATTATGAATGCGTGCGAGTTTGCCGATGGTTGCTCTGTTATTTTTGTTGTCATGATTTGTCTTTTGATCGGTTACTGTCAGTACTCATGGTAGAGAGCCTGGAGTTCGGTAATCTATAACCCGATACTTTATAATTAGTGGGTTGGACTGGCCCTAGAGATGTGTGAATGAAAGAGTTGGGGTCCCGCTTAGTCGTACATGAGGGCAAGTCCCGGCCTCACTTGCGCAGGGATCTGCTAAAAGCGTACGGCGTGTTCCCGTTGTGCGCTTTGTTTTTTGTATCCATTGGGGTATCCTTCCTGTGTGAAATGCTCTTCTAAGAGGCCAACTCCTAGCGATTTCATACAATGTTGACATGTCATGACCAGAGCAACTAAAGACTACTCGGTGTGGGATTTGGACTGATCATCCAATATCCAAACTTATTATGTGAATTTATTGTACTGTTTTAATGATTGTTTTTTTTGTTATGTGTATGAAATATTGATTCTTTAGGAATTCCAGCGGAGCCTGTGATTCAACATTATATTAATTTACTTGACAACCATCATAATATGCATTCATGCCATTACAGATAACTAATTTTGCTATAAAGTTCAATATTAATTTGTTGGCTGGGTTTTTTCTTGGTCAGTTCTTTTTTTCCCAGCCTATTGTTATATTTGTACTCGGTGAACTACCATTTTCTAAATTTAATCATGCAATGCGAAGCCGTTTTTAAAGCATGTACTTGTTTTATTTATATTCCTTCCTTGATCCTCACTCCGACAAGCAACACATATCTTGTAGCGACTCTTAAAAACACAAGGTAGTAAGTGGTCTTGTTATTCGGTTACTCAGGTTAGGTAGCTTTGTCTAGTCGATCACGTGCCATGGGGTTCAGGTAGTTTGGGAGGGAAAGTTTTGAATTTAAATGTTGAGTAGCAAAGTTTCTCGGGGCTGACCTCGGTACATTACAAACCAAAGGCATGCGTATGCAAAATCTGAGACCAATTGGTTGTCGTATGTAAAAGTTATGCACGTTTTACTTTGAAAAACAGCATCTCAGGAAATAATTCGTGCCCCCCCACCCCCCTTTAAACAGTGAAATTTGATGGCCGTCTGGCACACCTTCAAGGTATAGGCTTTCTACTACAAAAAATGTCAGAACTGTAGGACCATTCCCCTAGTAGTTCAAAACGGCAGAAGTGGGTCCGGACCGACGAACGGACGAACAAAACGCAAACAATAACACATTTTTTTAATTCTTAAAAAATGCGCTAAAAATACATACAATACAAAAAAATATGGCGCCCAAATTTGTCAAATTATAAAACGTTAGCGGTGTTCAATTCGGCATTAATTTAAAATGCAAGCCAATTCTCAAGTTCAACAAATGAGATGAAGAATGTTGGCTAAGGAAAATGTTGAACATTTAAATACGTAAGAACTAAGAAGTGAAACTATAAAGCGAAAATACAAAAAAGAATCGAAGTTACGAAAACAGTGCACAAATTTTAAGATGGACCACTTGGAACAATACTTATTCATTAATTGTTTTAATACAGCTTATCTGTTTAAATAGTTTGTATTAAAGAAATTTCAATAATTTTTTGTGCATTATTTAATTTTTCATGCATATCTTCACTTCATGTTTCTTTGCCATATTTTTTGTACATATGTATGTGCATTTTTGACGTGTTTTCATGCATATAAGTCCGGTCCCTAGATATATGCTGTCTTGACTGCAAACATTCTCAGAGCAATTGGTGGGTATTTCACCTTAATGCAACCTCAATCTCCTATGGAATAATATCAGATTTCAGATTCCAGTATAGCCAATAGAATTTTCGGGCTACAATGGAGAGCCAATAAGATAATTAGTACATGATGGGCAAGGGATTTTTTGAAATATCAAGTTTCTGATTGTAATTGTAATACAGGTGCTGGCAATATAAATCTACCTTCAATTAACTATACAATCCATTCTTCCTGGAACAGCTCGAAGAAATCTCTCTTATTTATAATTCCACGTACCACGTCTGAACTTTCTACATCCATTTTGCTTTAAAACTGAGTTTGAAAAATTGTAAAATTACTATTTTAACAACTCGTTTCTACTCTATCAAAACGTTTTCGATAGAAAACAACACAACTTCTTGAACTATTATTTTTATTTTTCAATGGGGTTGGAGCTTGCTACGTTTGGGAACCACACTTTGCTACCATGTTAAGCTTGTTGTAGTAGAGAAGAATACACAGAATTAATGAAAACTTTATTGACAGTCTCAGTTGACAACGTGCTATAAGTAAAATGAAACCTATCACAAATTCTGCAGGTGACATATCACATAATGGTACTAATAGGTACGTTAATATCAATCCTAGGCGGGTAGACGCCAGACGGACAGACAGGAAGTGTGATTTCATAAAAGAAGTTTTTCAGTCCAAAGACATTCGCTTCTTAACGATGGATGCTGATTGTTATAATTCAAAAAGAGCCACTGATATTAATGGAAATTCCAGCTGAATTATTAATATGTATGAGAATACCTATTTAAAGAAGAAGATTTAGCCTCCCTCGATAAAGTCGGTGCCCCTGATTTCACGCAGATTCACTTGGTTTTGCTTAATAACTTCCTATTCATAAATTACCGAAATACGAAATCGCGAGGGATAATTATGAAAACATTACGAAACTAAAATTCGTTGGTAATAGTATATTACCTATATATACCGCGGGACTGAAGTAGTACTTTTAATCCCGAAGGTAAAGTAATTTACCTGAGGGATTAAGACCACTACTTCAGTCGCAAGGTATATACGATATTTTTCATACTTCCGAAACTGAAACACTTAATATGTATGGAATTATAGAACGCGTTCTTTCAAAAAATCGCTGCTTAACAAGTTACCATAGGAACGTTGCG